CTTCCTCACAGTTTTCTTCATACCATGTTCTTTCCTCTAGTTTGCTTTATTGGCAACATACGGTCTATGACACGTACCCCATACAAAGTGTCAATAGACTGTCCATGTTATCCGTAAGGTTTCTGGCTGTTAATAGTTAAGTTTTGGAGTCAAAAGTTCTACTTGGATTTTCAAAGGCCGGGGGGAGTCGGCACTCGTAACCCCGAGTTGTTCAAGGGGCAACGGTGTGTGTAGTGGGGGTTTCTGTCCCTCCTCTTGCAGACCAGGAGGCTGGGGCACACAGAGATCACAGACACAGGCCAGCATCCCTGGAGACCGTGCTCCGGGTCACGCCGGCTGCCCCATGCCAGGCACGGAGGGGTGCACAGGCCTGAGGTTGCCCTGGGTGTCATGGGCAAGAACCAGAAGTGTATGCCCACCCCCCTTGATCCCAAAAGAATTCCTCTTCCTCCTTGCAGACTTCACTTGGAGCTTTGCAGTAGCCAAACCATTGGGAAGGAGCCCCAAAGTCCGTCAACAGATGAATGGTGTGGATAGACAAATGCGGAATGGCCATAAGATGGAATAGTACTCGGCCCTAAAAAGGAACAAAGCCCTGACACACGCTACACGTGGATGAGTGTGGATGAATCTCAAAGCATTCTGAGACGCGCAAGCAGGCAGACCCAAGAGGCCTCATATTATATGAGTCTACATAGATGAAATGTCTCGAGCAGGGAAATCCGGGGAGACAGGCAGTAGATGAGTGTTGCCTGGGGCCAGGGGAAGATGGAGGAATAGGGGATGTTAGCTGAAGGCAGGGGGCTTCTTTCTGGGGAGAAGAAAAGCTTCTAAAATGGACTCTGAGGATGGATGCACAGCTCTGTGGACAAACTAAAAGCTACCGAGTTGTACTCTTTAAATGGGTGAATTGCAGGGTATGTGAATTATATCTCAGTAGAGCTCTTTAAAGTTAAAAAATAGAAATAAATAAAATTTTCAGGAGACTCGGCTTGGGTGGTTGCAGTGCTAAGCCTCCAGCCTGCAAAACCCCCTTCTGGGTCTCTCATTTGCCTCCTTGGGGAGCCACTGTGCACTTGGGGTTTTCCTGGCCTATGATGCCATTCGGAAGCTGGACTCAGCCTGAGGTCCTGCGAGCACATAGGGAAGTGGGCGTCCTGTACCTGCCTGTGCCCAGCAGCTTGCGTACTTGGCCCAGGCAGGGTTCAAGCCCCCTGGGGGACCAAGAGCCCCACAACCCCTCTAGCCCAGGGTTCCCGGGACATTTGGCTAATGGCAAATGCCAGGTGCCATCCAGGAGCACCCTTGAGGGAGAGCTGTGCCCCCCAACTGGTGGGCTCCTGCCTGGCGCTGGAACCAAGTCCTCCCCTTTAGAGTGAGGAGGGCAACCCGCTGCTCCTCCCAGAGTCTTTCAGGCCGAGAACAGGTGCAGACATTCTGCCTTCAAGTACTCCCCCTGCTGCTCCCTGGTTTCCAACTTAGCCAGAAGCAAAAAGGGGAGACTGAGAGAAAAGACGCCCCCACCCCACACCCCCACTTAGGCCCTGGACCCCGCAGCCTGGTGGGGGATGAAGGGCCAGGTACCCAAGCTGAGGCTTACAGATGGAGGTCCCAGTCTCTCCCCCTGGGCTCCCAGTTGTGTGACGTCTCCGAGAGGGGCTGAGCAGGGCCACCTGCAGGCTTCCAGGGCCCACCGGCTCCAGGCGGCCACACTCAGGCCAGGTTCCTCTCCCACCGCTCTTGGGGGGCTAATTAGAGTCAGTTTGGGGCCTGGAGCCAGATAGTCACCCCAGTTGGCAGGCGGGGACCACATCACAGGACACTGTTCTCTGTCCCTTTTGCTGGCTCCCTTTCTAGGGTGAGGGATTAGAGGTGTGGGGCCTGGACCCAGGGGCGTCCCAGGGGGTGACCCGGGTACCTGCTAGGGCTGGGAGGTGATCCGGGGGTGAGGGCACCCAGAGCAGAGATCTCAGGGATTGGGAGCTGGTGGTGAGGCGGGGGCTGGGACCAGGCCTAGGGGTGCCCATGCCGGGGTCTGGAAGAGACCAATTAGTCAAATGGCAGCAGTGACCATTTGGAAGCAATTAACAGGGTCGCTATTACCACATTACACACCCCCCACCTGGCTCCATATTGGAGGGGGAGGGGCGGAGGTCGCCGTAATGTGGGTGGTGCAGCTGTCCCAGCACAGCCCAGCCCACCCCAGCACGACTGTGAGCATGAGATCAGGAAGACACCACGAAATCAGGCATCCCTCCTTCAGCCGGCCGGGTGTCTGAGGGCCTGGTAGCCCGGGGCGCGAGGGGGTGCCTGGGGGGCTGCCTGGGCCAGGAAACCCTGGGGGCAGGAAGCTCTAGATGAAAAGGTTGGGTGAGCAAAAGCTGGAGCCTGGAGGGAGAGGTTGGGGCCGCGGACTGGGGTGCAGGCACTTCCAGGAGCTGGTGCAGGGGGAGAAGGCGGCGGGGGGTTTTAGACAGCTCCCTCTGATTGCAGGGTGGACGCTGGTGCCAGGCACCAGGGGAGAGGAGAAAACCCAGCCCAGGGAGCTTAACTGCCTTGGAGAAGTCACCCCGACAAAAATGCGTGTTGCCAGCCAGGTCCTCCAGACGGGACCTCAGGCCATGGGTGCGTGCTGTCCCAGCATGACTGCTAACACCATCCTCTTCCGCCCTCAAAGCCATCCTGGTTGCACAAGAAACTACGGTCCCCTACTGCTGGGGCGTGCTCTGTGCCGATCTGGTGGCAGAGACCTTTGCGGGGCTAATTCTACTGAGTTACACTACACTGGAGGCATTTTATACACGAGAAATCAGCATCTCCGAGGGGCCACGCTACACGGCCAAGGTCACATGCCTAGGAAGTGGCTGAGCCATCCATTCATGCAAGGACTATGTGCTGAGGAGCTACTGTATGTAATCCCAGGCCAGGTCTGGGGGTGGAGCCCCAGTGAGTAAGTTCCCCTCTTGGCTCTGTCCTTGGGGGCTGCCTGGGGGCTGCCTGGAGGCTGTGCTCGGTCCTCTGTCAAGCAGGGACCTTCATTCAGAGTCTGGGGCTCTAACCATCAGTGGCCTGGTCTTTAGATTGTTCGTGGGCTCTGACTAGACAGACTCTGGCCTAGAGCCACGTCCTCAGGGATTGAGGTACTGGGTGGTGCCCTGAGAGTCCCCCCACCCACCCACCCAAGGCCACTGGGGCACTGTGCATGCTGAGGTGGGCTCACTGTGTCAGGCCAGGATGGTAAGAAATGTCCCAATGGGGTGTGTTCCTTCCTGCAGCTCACTGGAGTCCCCCCGGTACCCTGCACACCTGCACCTCCCCTGGGAAAAGACCCAGGTCCCAAATCCTGACGCCTGTAGAAGGAACGAGGGATGCCAGCCCACCCAGTTCACCGCAGAGCTCCCAGACTCGGAGCCCAATAGACCCCTGGCCCCCGTGGGTGAGGTCCCTTGCTTGACTTGAGCCTGCATGTCTGTATGTGACCGGCTTCTGGCCCTGGGGCTGCTGGAGGTGGAGGCCAAGGGAGCAAGAGAAGGGACAGGGCTTGTGGCTTTTCCCAACACTATATCCACAGCCCTTCTTCACAGCGGTCCCTAGGGGATAGGGCCCCCAGTCAGTCCAGGGGCCCCCCAGGGGCATCTACACTGCTGCTCCCACCCCAGCGGGGATATACGCCCCCTCCGATCACGTCCCCCCTCTTTCCTCTCCTTTCTCTGTGGTCACCAGACTCTCCAGGCTTTTCTCAGATCATTCCCGGGCTCTCTCGTCTCTGTCTCTGCTTCTTGGTATGTCCGTCCCTCTCTCGCTCGCTCTCTCCTCTTCTTTCGCCCTGTCTTTCTCTCCTCAGCGGTCTCTCTTGCTCTCTGGGGCTGTCTGTCTCTGTGCCCCGTTCTCTGGCTCTCCCGAATCCCTCCCACTTCCCCAGCCCCCTCTCCGGCCGGCAGCTGGGACAGGACCCTCCGAGGCCCGCCCGACGTGCGCCAGCCTCGGCCTTCGGGATCTGCGGGGTCGCCGTGCGCGACACCACAGAGCACCTCCCGGCCCGGCCCGCCACGCCTCGGGCCGCCGAGGACAGCGTCCTGGCTCCAGCAGGGAGCCCGGGGCGCCGACCCAACCCCGGGGTCCCCCACGCGCGCCCGCGGCCCGGGCTCTCCCCTCCGCCGCCCTCCGCGGCCCCCTTCATTATGCGCCGCCTTTAATGGGCGTTTGTCAGCGCGACTTCCCCGCAAGTTGCTTTCGCGGACATCAGTCATCGGCGGCGTTCCCATTGTGCCGGGGGATTGATGGGGGGCGGGAGGGGGTGACAGGGCCTGGGGCGACCGCCTCGAGGCCTCGGTCTATAATTTTCGGAGGCATAATTGGCCT